TTTTTCTTTTGTTAGATTTGCCAATGGTTTATCGATTTTATTAATCTTTTCGAAGAACCAGCTTTTTGTTTTGTTGATTTTCTCTATGTTTTATTGTTTTGTTTTCTGTTTCATTTATTTCTGCTCTGATCTTTATTATTTCCTTACTTCTAGATACTGTAGGATTCTTTTGTTGTTCTTTTTCTAGTTGTTGGCATTGATGAGTTAGAGTGTTGATTTTGTTTTTTTCTTCTTTTTTGATGTATGCATTTATTGCTATAAACTGTCCTCAGTACTGCTTTTGCTGTGTCCCATAGGCTTCATTCTCTCTTGTTTCTAGAAATTTTTTTTATTTTAGTTATTTGTCCTATTACTCAGTAGTTTTTGAGCAGTGAATCTTTCAGCTTCCACATGTTTGGTATTTTTTCCTTGATCTTCCTATTATTAATTTCTAATTTTATAACATTGTGGTCCAAGAAGATGCTTTGTAGTATTTCAGTGCTTTTGAATTTATTGAGGCTTGTTTTATGTCCTAACATATGATCTATTCTGGAGAAGGATCCATGTGCACTGGAGAAGAAAGTGAATTGTGCTTTTGTTGGGTGAAATGCTCTGTATATGTCTATGAGTTCGTTAGTTGATTGTATTGTTGAGCTCTTCTGTATCTTTGTTGAGTTTTTTTCCAATTGACCTGTCCCTCTTTGAAAGTGGTATATTAATGTCTCCTACCACTATTGTAAAGTTGTCTATTGTCCCTTTTAATTTAGTTAATATTTGCTTCACATATTTTGGAGCACTTTCATTGGGTGCATAAATATTTATTATCGTCTTTGTCAGTTGACCCTTTCAGCACCATATAATGTCCCTCTTTGTCTCTTACGATGTTTTTCACCTTAATGTCTATTTTATCAGAAATTAGTATTGCCACTTCTGCTCTTTTTTGACTACTGTTGGCTTGGTATATCTTTTTCCACCCCTTAACTCAATTTGTTTTTATCTTTGTGTCTCAAGTAGGTCTCTTGTAGGCAGCATATCAATGGGTCTTCTTTTCTTATCTAGTCTGCCACTCTCTTTCTCTTGATTGGTGCATTTAGTCCATTCATATTGAGTGTGATTAGTGATAGATATGAATGGATTGCTCTCATTCTGTTGTGTATTTTTGTTGTGTTGTTGATGTTTCCTTGGTCCATGTACTGTTCTGTTTTGAGTTTGATTTGTTGTCTAATGCTTCCTCTCTTTCTTTACAGTTGGTTTTGTGCTTATTAAATCCATATGTTTTCCTTCCTTCTGAGTTTGCTTAGCGGGATTGTTAATTTTCTCTGTGGTTACCTTGAAGTGAATTCTTGTTGCTATATCTTTGGAACAGTGCATTCTATGAAGACATTGTCCTGTTTTCCTCTCCATTTGGAAGTTTGTACCTAGAAGTTTTATTCCCTCTAATAGGTTAGTTGCTGTTGTTGTGTGCAGATTGTCTTCCTTGATTTTTACAGTGTACAATATTTTATGGCCTTATTTTGAGATTCTATTTCTGATTTGGTTTTAGTGTTGATGTCACGTATCCTCATTTTGTTGATCTCTTGTGGGTTCTCTATTGGAAGAACTTCCTTAAGCATTTCCCGTAGGGTTGGTCTGATTTTTGCAAAATCCCTTAATTTCTCTTTGTCTGGGAATGCCTTTATTTCGCCCTCATATTTGATGGATAATTTGGCTGGATATAGGATTCTTGGTTGGAAATTCTTTTCCTTCATGTTTTATATATGCTGTCTTATTGCCTTCTTAGGAGCTCTGGTAGCATAGTGCCTAAAGCACTTGACTCCTAACCAGAAGGCTGGCGGTTCAAACCCACCAGCCACTCCTCGGAAGGAAGATGGGGCAGTCTACTTCCGTAGTGATAACTGCCTTGGAAACCCAAGGAGGGGTCGCTATGAGTCGGGTCTGACTCGACGGCAAACAACAACAACAACAACATTGCATTCTTACCTGCATGGTTTCTGCTGAGTAATCAGAGCTTAGCCTGTTTGATTATTATAAGTTATATTTCTTTTATCCCAGGTAGCTTGCAAAATTTTTTCTTTTGTCTTTTGTTTTGGAGAGTTTGATTATAATATGCCTTGGTGTTTTTCTCTTGGAATCTATCTTGTATGGGGTTCTGTGAGCTTCTTGGACAAATATCTTTTCTTCCTTCATGATATGGGGGAAGTTTTCTGTTAGTAGGTCTTCCACAATTTTGTCAGTAGTTTTTTGCTGCCTGTTATTCTGGAATTCCAACGAGGCATATGTTGTTTCTTTTCATGTTGTCACACATAACTCTTAGGTTCTCTTCATTTCTCTTAAATCTTTGTTCTGAGTTTTCTTCATACAGGCTGGTGTCCGGGGATTTGTCTTCTTGTTGGGAAATGCATTCTTCAGCCAATTCTATCCTGCTTTTTTGTGCTTCTCCTGTATTGTGTAATTCTGTAATTTTGGTATTTATCTTCTGGATTTCTAACTGCTGTTTTTGTATGAGTTCTGATTGTTCATCAATCTTATTTTGTTCTTGAATGATTTTCCTGAGTTCTTCCAGGGAACTGTCTGTGTTCTCCTTGCTTCTGTTTGGGGTTTCCTTAGGCTCTTCTAAAGCTCTATAAACATATCTTCTAAATTCCTTCTCAGATAATTCTATTACCTCCTCTTCCTCCATGTTTAATGAGACCTTTGTTTATGGTTTTGCATCTAATGCCTTGTCCTGTTTTTTTGTTTAATTTGAGGTTGCCTGTTGTTTCCTAGACATTTTGAGATTGTCTTTAACTGTTGTTTATGTATTGATTTGTTTTGTCTTGGTTTTATGATTTAATGTTTTGAAAAGGTAGAGCTGGTGTATTTTATTTTTTTGGTTATTAATTCAGGTGTGCTGGGTTGCTTTGCAGTTTTCTTTGTGATGATGGAATCGCTGTGTGGAATGTGGATGTAGGTCTCTGCTTGTCATAAAGAGGGTTTAGAATTCGAACCAGGAAGTACTATGTTGGCCGAATGTGATTTTTTTTCTATTAGATGAGTGAGGGTATTGGCGGAGAAGGTAGGAGCGGAAGAGAGAAAGAAGGGAAGCTCCACGTTGCTAGGAGCAGTTTCTAGGGCTTTGAGCAGGCTGCTAATGATAACGTTGTACTACTATTTACAGGCCCACAGCTCAATTCAGCAAAGCCTCCAGTTGTTAGGGGGTCAGCACCTTCTGCCAGGCTCAGACACATGCAAAAATCCCGCTATTGAGGACCCTCCATGCCAAAGAGCCCACCCAAGACAACTGGCCCACACCGTGATCCACCGTGGGAGTTCTTCCTAGGGCTTGTGCACTTGGGGCGCCAGCCTATACTGCGATCCGCTGCAGGAGTGCCTCCCAGAGCCCATGCACTTGTGGTGCCAATGATCTCTCCGGTTGGGTTTCAGTGATGCTCAGGGGAGGGAAGGAAAATGCCTGCTCACCCCGGAGGACCCAAGATTACCGACAAAGTCAAACATGGGCCCCTCTGTGCCTAAAAGCCCTCTGTGCCTAAAAGCCCAAGCCCTTTCTCACGATCTGCTGCGGTAGTTCCTCCCAGGGCCTTCCCACTTGCGGTGTTAATGGTCTCTGCTCAGGTGTCAGCAGTGCTAGAAGTGCCTACTCACACCCAGGAGATTAAAGTTTACCGATAAAAGCAGGTGCTGAAGGTAGATCCATGGGGTGAGCATTGGTATACTGGTGGGGTGCGTCTTCTTCCTTAATCCAGTGAGGTCTCCGATGACCTTCTCGTCTGTCAGTCAATGCTCCCTCAGGGTGGTCTGCGATGGCCTTTCTCACCCACCGGTTGGCACTCCACAGGGCAGATTTCCCTGTTTTTGTTGTTTTCCCTACCCCTTTCTCCTTTCTAATCCTACTCCCCTGAGTTTGATGTACTCTGACTCAGTGAGCTGTTCAGAGCACCAAAATCCCTATTTCAAACTGCTGCACCTAGTTTTTAGGCACTCAGATGCTAGAGGGAATTAACGTGGGGACTACTGACTGGACACCATTTTTCCAGCCCCAGTTTCTCATTTATTTGTGGTAGAGAGTCAATGTAGCTTGTCTGCCTATTCTACCACGTTGCCAAAAGTCTGCTCCATAGGGTTTTCAGTGGTTGATTTTTCAGAAACAAATCACCAGGCTTGCTTCCAGCCCTCTTCTAAGGTGCCATTGGGTGGACCTTTTGGTTAGTAGCTGAGTGCATTAACTGTTTGCACCACCCATGGTCTCCAAAACTGAGGGGTAGCATTTCATAAACAAATTTGGTAACAGGTTTTCTTGGTACTCACTACTTCCTATTCTATTACATTTCATTATAGATAACCATGATTTTTCTTAGCATCCCTAAGAAGCTAAAGAAATTCCCTGGCTTTTGAGCCATTGGTTTATCCATAGCTCAAAAGTGATAGATTATAATACAACTTTTCTAGAGCCACTACTCCTTCCATAAAGTATGGCACACAATGTTGGAATATCTTTCTTTTTAATAATTCTTGACATAAGATAGAATAAAACATAAGATGTAGAATTCAGTGAATTTGTTACCTTAAAATTTTAACTCTACCATATCCCACTCTTAATGACTTTTGTTCACCATATTAACTGATAAATCATACTGGGGAATTTAAGAAAAAAGTCGGGGGGGGGGTGACTCCTTGCATTGTAGTAAAATATGAAATACCTGCATATTAATTAGAGTGAATTACCTCTTTTCATTAAAGGGGAAAATTTGGCAAGTTAAATCACTAGTATAACATGTGTGCCTTTTCCTCTCCCTTGGGTAATTGAAGGTAAGTTTACAATATGATCCTATCCTGCAGAATACTTAATCTACACTAAGTGGCTGAATATCAAAATGCAGGTGGCAGAGTTAGATGATAATCTAGAATTTACTGTGTTAATCATACTATATTCTCCCTGATGATTGAGAATCATGAAGTTCTGTGATAGTAATCTTCATGTAAAAAGCACATATTTGTAAATTGTATTTTATTGTTTTTTCCAGACGTATAGGAGAAAATTTGAATGCCTCAGCAAGTGCTGTGGAAAATGAGCCAGCAGTTAGTTCAGCAGCTCAAGCAAAGGAAAAAGTTAAAACCACAGTTGGAATGGTTCTTCTTCCAAAACCAAGAGTTCCTTATCCTCGTTTCTCTCGTTTCTCACAGAGAGAACAGAGGAATTACGTGGATTTGTTGGTAAAATATGCAAAGATTCCTGCAAATTCCAAAGATGTTGGAATAAATAAAAATGACTATTTGCAATACTTGGTATGCATTTATGTTCTTTAGTAAAAATATTAGAAATTAGGAAATACTTTTTAAATTGTCTTCTATATTTTTAAGTATAGTCATACTAATAAAAATGAAAAATTTAAGGAGTTTATTTGATAGAGCATGGTGCTTTAATTCTTTTGTTGATTGTGTTACAATTCAGTCATTTTGCCTGCTTCTGAGACTGTCTCACTCCACGTCATTGTTTAAGTAGTAGCAGTAGTACTTTAAACACTTTACTGAACCAGTTCTTTATCATTGAACATTTAAATCATTTCTAAATTCTAAGTTACATAAATTGATGCTGTGCTGGGTTTTTTTTTTTTTTTTTTAATTGTTATTTGGGTGAAAGTTTACAGAGCAAATTCATTTTCCATAGGCAGTTCATACATATTTTGTTTCTTGACATTCACTGCAATTGCCCACAATGTAACACCTCTCTTCCCACTTCCTCCCCATAGTTAACTCTTCCCTGTGTCCTTCCCTCCCATGCACTCCCATCCCTGTACTCTCTCTCCCTGTGCAAACACTGCCCTTCTGTTCTCCCATGATTGATCACTCCAAGGAGTGTATATACCTGATGTGAATGTTCACCCAATATACCTATTGTTTGGCTGGAAGCCACAAGAATGAGTTCAGTTTCAGGTATGAAGGGTAACTAGGGGCCATAGTCTCAGGGGTCTCACCAGGCTCTATCAGACCAGCAAACCTGGCCTTTTTTTTTTTTTTATGATTTTGAGTTTTGTTCACATTGTTCTTTCACTCTATCCAGGATCACCTACACTAGTACCCCTCTGAGTGGTTGACAGTGGTAGCTGGGTACTATATAGTTCTTCTGGACTCATGGTCATATAGGTTGTGGGTCACATGATCTACTAGTCCCTTTGATTAATTATTTCCATGAGTCTTTGGTTCTTTTCATTCTTCTTTGCTCTGGATGAGGAGAGATTCATCGTTGCATCTAGATGGCCTCTTGCAAGCTTTTAAGACCTCAGTGCATTCACCAAAGTAGGATGTAGAACAATGCATTTGTGTAATATGTTATGCCAACTGACCTTGTTGTCTCCTGCAACCGTGGTCCCAAGCCCACAGGTCCAACTACTCGCTCCCTCAGAGAAACTGTCTGCCCAAGAAGCCACCACAACCATGCCCTTGTCATGTGCTGGGCATTTTTGTAGCAAAATCTTCATATCTATGATTGTTTCCTTAAGATAAATTCTTAAAAATGAAATAGATCAAAGCCTATACATGTATTTAAGGCTTTGATCCACAGTTACACATTGGTAAATTGTTCCGCAAAAAGCTTAAACTATTCTGTACCACTCTTGTATAGAGGTTTGGATTTAAGTATCTTCACTAATACTAAATGTTAAGAGCTCTGGTGACTCAGTGGTTAATAAGCATTCAGCTGCTAACCAAAAGGTTGGCAATTCAAACCCACCAGCCACTCCACAGGAAAAGATGAAGCAGTCTACTTCCATAAAGATTTATATAGCTTTGGAAACCCTATGGGGCAGTTCTGCTCTGTCCTGTAGGGTCACTGTAAGTCGGAATCAACTTCCTGGCAGTAGGTAATGCTAGACATTACCTTTTTCACCTCTAATATTATTGAAAATGTTGCTCTGTTGTTTATATTAATTTACATTGATTACTGATGAAAAAGAGGATTTTCCATGTACTTATTGAAAAAACAATCCCACTGCCATCAAGTCAGTTCCAACTCATAGCAACCTTATAGGACAGAGTAGAATTTATAGGGTTTCCGAGGCTGTAAATCTTTATGGAAGCAGAGTGCCGCATCTTTCTTCTGCGGAGCAGCTAACTGGTAGGTTCAGACCACTGACATTTTGTTTAACAGCCAAATGCCTTAACCATTACACCACCAGAGCTCCTTGAGGGTCCTTATTAGCCATTTTTATTTCTTTTTTGTGATTGCCTATTCATAGGGTTTGCCCATTTTTCCAGTGGCTTATTTGTTTGTTTTTTGAATACTAAGATCATTTTACAGTAAAACCTGTGAAAATCAGAGCTTCTGTAAGGCAGGAACCTATCAAAGAAGAAAAACTATGTTTTCTACAAGTAGAGAGTGATAGAAAAGTGGTCAGACTGTACCTATTTAAAGGTGAAAAACTTGGAAGACCCAGAAAAACAAGGCAGTCCATCGAGTACCAGCTCTCACAGGTTTCACTATATAAAGAAATTTATTAATTCTTAAGCATCTAGTGCAGTGTTAGTCATTTCCTTTTCTATTTTTGTGACTTTTTAATAACATGTTGATCACTATTGTATAATAATAATTTATTAAGTTTTTCTTTGTGGTTTCTGCTTTGGATATGATACTTTAATTACTCTTTAAATTCAAGTTATTAGAATAATTTAAGAAGTGATCTTTTTCTTAACCAAACTTTTTATCCCACTATTTGTCTGTTATTTTAAAAACAGGATATGAAAAAGCAAGTGAGTGAAGAAGTTACTGAATTCCTAAAGTTTTTGCAGAATTCTGCAAAGAAATGTGCACAGGATTATAATATGCTTTCTGAAGATGCTCGTCTCTTCACAGAGGTAAAATAAAATTACACTTATGTAAACTGCCACGTAATAGGCAATAGCAGCTTTCTAACGTGTGATAATCCTGCCAAAAACATAGGAAAATATCAGTATCAATTTAAAGATCAACTTATTCATCATGTGTTTAAAAAGTAGAAATAGTAACAACTAAAAATCATGTACAGTTAGTTCCCTGATTATGAACAAGTTCCATTCCTAAGTCTATCTATAATTTGAATTTGTACGTAAGTCAGAACAGTGAGGTACAGTTCGTATCTAACGTCAGTCAGAAGTTTATTTTATTATATAGGGTACATTACTATATGGAGCCGTGGTAGTGCAGTGGTTAAACAGCTTGGCTGCTAATTGAAAGGTCGGCAATTCAAACCCCACCAGCCATTCTGCAGGAGAAAGATGTGGCATTCCACTTCCATAAAGGTTTACAGTCTTGGAAACTCTATAGGGTGAAGTTCTACTCTGTCCTGTAGGATTGCTATGAGTTGTAATCAACTGGATGGCAGTAGGTTTGTTTTGTTTTTGATTGGTACCTTTCTATGCATAAAAAACATTACAGAAACATAAAAATACAGTAATAATAATAATGTTTTGATATGTGTACGTAAGTCAGATGTTTGTAACCTGGGGACTTTTGTGTAGTACATTCATATGTGATTTTGTTTTATGATCCAGCTACTGTATTTGAGTTCTGTTTTACTCCACATGAATGGTTTTATCTGATCCACTGATTTTCCTTGTGAGAAAATGTGTGCTTGAGTTACCATGGTTCCTAAAAATCTGAATGGTCCTTTAGAATTCAGTCACAAATACTTGCATTCAAATGATAACTTTACCTCTGAGTTCATCTTTTGATACTTAAGTCATTTATACAAATGTATTGGCAAAGCATGTAAATTACTCTACCTTGTATCTTCCAATCATTCAGCGGCCATAGAGAAATTTAGAGTACACTACTTAACTATTAATATATATTTTTGTAATAGAGTTCATCGGTAAACACTAATACCAGTCTGATTTTTTTTTAAGCCTTTAAAACTGTTCACTGTAAATTGGGCTGGGGTGGAGATTAGTTTTACTGTTTAAAACAAAATGCTTTTTAAGATGGAATTGTGTTGTTAATGTGTACCAGAAGACTGATGTAAGCCTCAAAGGAAGCTTTTAGTTTTAATTTTCAAAGGAAGAATTAGTCTTTTATTCTAATAGTCAAGGAAACGTTTATGTATGGAAGGTCATTTTCTTTGTTGGTTACCAAGGGTGGGAGGAGAGGGGAGGGAATACTGTTAGATAGATAGAGATAAGTTTTGATTTGGGTGAAGAAAAGGGCAATGTACCAAATGTGAGTGATCAATACAGTAGCATTGAGGAAGAGAAAGACATAGAGAGGTACGTGGGAAGTACAGACAACAAAGAATAAACCCTTTTGTGCATATAGTACAGCGTGCTCAGTGAAGGCAAACACGGGTATATGGGTGGATAGATGGGTGGACAGGCTGAAATATTAGGTATGTATATGAAGTGGAGAGTGCACCCAAGAACATGTATAGGGTTGGCAGACAGTGGTACAATATCTTTATGTGTATGATCTGAATTCCCAGGTGTATAATGGGGCTGACAAGAATTTGATTTTTGTTTTCTCTAAACCTAAATATTACATACTCAAAGGGAATGTCATGGTTTTTCATATGGAAGAGGAACTGGCAGCTGTTCCTAGTTTAATAATGCTTTTGCAAGGACCAGAGTGATGCTTTCTTTTTAATACATTTTATTGAAATATAATTTATGTGCAGTGAAATACACAAAACTAAAGTTCAGAGTGATGCTTTTAAAACATCATATCCCCCTTATGTTTCTGCCTTAAAATGGCTTCCTATCTCATTCAGGAAGAAAACAGAGTCTATAAAAACAGAGTACTATAAAAGTACTAGACATGATTTTATCCCCTCTCCCAAGCTTCATCTTCTACAGTTATTCCACTTCACCCTACTGGGCTCCTTGCTGTTTCTTGAATACTCCAAATATGGTCTAATTATGAGACCTTTAACATTTGCTGTTCCCATCCTTCTTCAAAGACAGGTTTCCTAGGTCTCTGTTCCCAAATACCTGCATGGATTTGTGCCTTGATTCCTTTAGGCCTCTCAGATGTTACTGATCAGTGAGGATCACCCAACCCTGATCACCCTATAGAAGATAGCATTGCCTTTGGTATTCTCTTTACTCTTTACTGTGTTTTATGTTTATTTATTATCTTTCTCTACACACCTGTATGTAATTACTTTTTTGCTCACTATCATTTCCCAGTGCCTAGAATGGTGCCTAGCGCACAGTAACTGTTGAATATAAATATTTGCTGAATGGATACAAAAGCATTTATTAGCAGGTAACATTAGGTTGTGAACAATAAACATTAAGTATTGTTTAGTCAGATTAATTTGACAGCAATATTTTCTCCAAATTATTTTTCATAATCCCACAAAAGACACATTGATATTTTTCTAGTCTTTTTCTACTATTTAAATATTTTATCTTACGTAATGGACATAAAAAGTGCATGGAATAAATGCAATTTAAAAAATAATTATCACTTGAACATCTATGTAACTCTGATCCAAGTCAAGGGATAAAGAAAGCATTACCAATAACCCAGAAGTCCTCTGTGCATTCCTCCCAGATAGTATACTCACCTTTCCATGAATAGATAATCACTATCCAACGTCTGTGGTGATCTTTCCATGCTTGTTTTTCAGTTCTACCTCTCTTTTGCCTGTTTTTGAATTTCATATGAATGGAATTGTTTCTTCCTTCTTTCATTCAATATTATGTTTTTGAGATTCATTTCTACTGTAATTATAGTTTATTCATTTTCATTTGGGTACATTATACCATTATACGAATAAGCTACATTTTATTCTTCTGTTGATCAACATTTAGATTGCTTCCAATTTGGAGCTATACTAAGCAATTCTGCTATGAAAATTTTCCTGTATCTGTCTTGGTGTGCCACATTTCTTTTGGATATATACCCCGGAGTGAAAATGTTGAGTCATAGAGTTTGCATATATACGACTTACGTAAATAATGTCAAATTGTTTTCTGAAGTGGTTGTACCAATTTACACTCCAGCCATCAGTGTTTGAGAATTCGGTTGTGTCATACTCTGAGCATAAATTAATATTTACAGTCATTTTTGTTTTAATGATTCTAGAGGATGTGAGATATATAATAGGGTTGAGTGCCTTTAAATATGCTTATTGGACACATGGATTTTTCTTGTGAGTTGCTGTTCAGTTCTTACCCTTTGTTCTACTGGATTTTTCATCTTTTTCTTATTTATAAATGGGAATTCTTTGTGTATTCTAAATATAAAAACTTTATGAATTACATATATTGCAAGAAGATGGATTGACACAGTGGCTGCAACAACGTATATAGTATACATTATAGTATACTATAATAGGTATAGTAGGTATTGTGAGGCTGGCATAGGACCAGGCAGTGTTTCCTTCTGTTGTGGATAGGGTTACTATGAATAAGAGCCAACTCAACAGCTCCTAACAACAACAATAACAACAACAAAGGAGCCCTGGTTGTGCAATTAATGGTTAAGTGCTGAGCTACCAAAAGGTTGGTAGTTTGAACCCACCAGCCATACCATAGGAGGAAAGACCGGGCAGTCTGTTCCCCTAAAGATTACAGCTTAGAGAACCCTGCAGAACAGTTCTACTCTGCCATATAGGGTTGTTATGAGTCAGAATTGACTCAACAGCACACACAACAACAAAAACTTTAAAATCTGAAATACATTCCAAAAGATTCAGAAAAGATTCATTGACAGAAGAAGAAAAAATACATGTCTTAGAAGATAATTTATATTTGTGTTTTAATTATAAATCCTCCCAAAAAAGCTTCTATGCTTCTTTGAGTTATTTACATATTATTACAAGTGGCATGTATTTTTCCTGGATAAAGCTATGAATTGTATTTACTTCCTCATTACATTTCCTACTAAGTCATCAATATTTTGAAAACAGAGAAGAATACTGAATGTATCATTTGAATTATTTATACCATTTCTCATTTATTTTTTAGATTGTAGATAGAATGACCTGTAAGATAACTATTTCATTAGTTCATTTTGTTTGGCAATCTTTCAGAATATTAAACTTACTTATTTCTAATCGTTCATGTAACTGTTTTTAATGCAGTAAAGCGTGCTTAAATTTTCATGTGGCTTGATTTCTTTGACAGTTTCGTAAATAGCCTAGAAAAATATATTGTGTTTTCTCTATTTAGTTTTAAATTTTAATAAGATTGCTAATTTTAGTATTCTTGAATATCAGTATTTTAAGCAATTAGGTTAAAAAGAAATTGGCATGAAAAATAAGATTAAATAAAATAAGAAAGGAATATACTGTATGCCTGGATTATTAGAAAATTGATTAATGAAATTAAGCTGATGTTTGGAATGTATAATTTTATAGCCACGTGTAACTAAGGTATTTTTGTTTCATTTTCAGAAAAGTACAATACAAATGAATTTTTCTTTTTATTTCCTAGCAAATTTTAAAAGCTTGCATTGAACAAGTAAAAAAGTATCCAGAATTCTATACTCTCCATGAAGTTACCAGCTTAATGGGATTCTTCCCATTCAGAACAGAGATGGGATTAAAGTTAGAAAAGACTCTTCTTGCATTGGTAAACTATATGACAGTATAAACTTACTTTTGTCTGAAGCATCCTCTCTATAGACATATTATATTTAAAAATAGTATTATATTTTAAAATAAACTTAGAATGATAATGAGTTATAATATCTTTTATTGTGGTAAAACATATGTAACAAAAACTTACTGTTTTAACCATTTCTAAGTGTACATTTCAGGAGTGAGACCTGGTAGCATAGTGGTTAAGGCACTTGACTGCTAACCAGAAGGCTGGCAGTTCAAACCTACCAGCCACTCCTCGGAAGGAAGATGGGACAATCTACTTCCGTAGTGATACTGCCTGGGAAACCCAAGGAGGGGTCGCTATGAGTCGGGTCCGACTTGATGGCACATAACAACAACAACAACAACAACAAGTATACATTTCAGTGATATCAGTTACATTCACCACATTGTGCAATCATCACCCCTGTTTCCAAACAGAAACACCTTAGCAATAACTCCCCATTTCTCCTACACCCTCCGCCCAATAACCACTGATAAACTTTTGTCTGTATGCATTTTCCTATTCTATATATTTCATATAAGTGGGGTCACATAATATTTGTCCTTTTGTGTCTGACTTATTTCATTGAGCATAATGTTTTCAGGGTTCATCCATGTCTTAGATGTATCAGAATTCCATTTCTCTTTATGGCTGAATACTGTTCTGTTGTATGTGTTTACTACATTTTGTTTATCTATTCATCTGTTGATAGAATTACATCTTTTTAAATGTGTAATACAAATCTTTCTTTTTGTATGAATAACAATACTTCAACCTGCTTCACTTTTGTATTTAAATATACCACTACCAACTTTATTTCTTTATTTTCTTCTATTCATTCCCATCTTCCAGTGTCCTTGAATACAAGCAGAAAATCTTTTTCTTTTAAGAGATTTTACTCCTAGTCACATTGAAAGTAAGTGTGTGTACAGAGGATACTTTGGAGTTCCTGCTTTAGTTGTCTCTCATATAATGAGACATTAGAATTTAAGGGGACAAGATAAAGATTCATGATACCCTTCTGTTGAATTATTTTTTAATGATTGTCAAAAAAATAATAAAAGTCTTCATTTAAGGGGGCTGTAAATCTGACATTTTCATTTAGTAGAATGAAGAATTAGAAGTCAAGAATTTTATATAATAAAATTACACTTTTCTTAGGAAAATAAAATTACATCAACATTTTTGCAGTAAAACATTTTTCTTTTCTTAGGGCAATGTAAAATATGTGAAAACAGTATTTCCCTCAATGCCTGCGAAGCTACAGCTGACAAAAGATCACATAGCTGCCATTGAAACACCAGAACAAGTAGCTACAGCTATGCATGATGTAAGTGTTTTCCAGTAATATATCAGACAGTGTCTCACTGCTATTCATAAGGTTTTCAGTGGTCAGTTTTTTCACAAGTGGATGGCCCCAACCTTCTTCCCAATAAGATGTAAGGAGGAAAGTGGAAATCTTTGGATCTTCCTAGATAATCTTATATACCTCATAAAATACATAAAAGCTGATGATTCTAAAGCCCTCTTCCCAACTTTCTCCTTTCTTTTCATTACCAAATAAATTTTCATTAAGTATAATAAGTAACAAGTTACCTGTTGTTTTTCAGGATATTAGTAAAGATCCCAACGCAGAAAAGCTTGTTTCAAGGTATCATCCACAAATTGCTCTAACTAGTCAATCATTATTTACCTTATTAAATAATTATGGACCAAGCTACAAGGAACAGTGGGAAATTCCTGTGTGTGTTCAACTAATACCTGTTGCAGGTTTGTGATTTTCCAAGTCAACTAATGTTTTCGAAAGAGGGGCTAGGGTGGTTCCATTTCAGCTGTCTGAGCTTAGGTGGTGATTGTCGAGCGTAAAATGAAAGTCTTGCTTTAAGGAGGATGTAAATTTGACATTTGCATTCAGTAGAACTTTTTCAGCATAAGGTTGCCATTAGGTTGACCTTCATAAATTTCTCTTTTTTATTAGGTCTATAGTATCTTTGGTCATGTTGGGGGATGAGGGATGATAGTTAGAGAAGTCATTATAACCTCGGGTGGCCATAAATCCTTGAAATGATGGTGGGGTTCTGTCTGTCACTGAAATGAAAGGAATGTAGTAATTTATTAACCCAAAAACAAACTCATTGCCATCGAGTCAATCCCAATTTTATAGCAACCCTCACTGGGTTTCTGAGGCGGTAAATCTTTATGGATGTAGATTGCCCCATCTTCCTTCCATGGAGTGGCTGGTGGGCTTGAACCACCAACCTTCTGGTTAGCAGTCAAATGCCTTAGGTACTTTGCCAACAGAGCTCCTTATTAGACAACCTCAAATGGGTGAATTTCTAGGACTTAACTTATTTTTCTGTTGTTGGAATTCAGAATTAAAGTAGGCTTACACATGCACACTTGGGATAGTCTCCTCTCACAGTAGAATTAGCATTTGCATGTAAATTTATCTATAGAACAGATGATTCCCCTGTTTTGGCTAATATATAATATTTCATCTTATTATAATTCTGTAATAGCATAATAATAGTAAGTGAAAGAATGTTTAATGAGACAAAACTACAAATTAGAGTTAAATGTAGTATATTCTCTATGGTAAATATGTCATTGCTTTTTGAAAGTATAACCTTGTAAGAACTAGATAATAATGACAATAAAAGTATAGCAGTAAACAATTAGAAGATCATTTAAAAAATTATGTTAGAGAACATATTTTTGTTGCCAATCAGATTGTCTTACCTTGAGATCAACAAAGGTTTTTATAGACCTAGTCTAACAGTGGCTAATATACGGGACTTGGGCTACCATTCTCCTATCCTCTGTCTCTTTGTATAACAATCTTCTATCATATATTCTGGGCTTTTTTTTTTTTTTTTAATTACTAGAAACTAATCACTTCCATTTGTTTGTTTTTGTTTCAAGGTTCAAAGCCAGTTAAAGTAATTTATATTAATTCACCACTTCCCCGAAAGAAAATGACAATGAGAGAGAGAAATCAAGTCTTTCATGAAGTTCCATTAAAATTTATGATGTCCAAAAACTCATCTGTTCCAGTCTCTGCAGTATTTATGGATAAACCTGAAGAGTGTATATCTGAAGTGGATGTATGTAATGGTTTCTTTTTCTCTTTTTTTTTTTTAATTGTGATTTGGGTGAAGATTTACAGAGCAAATTCACTTTCCATACAGCAGTTCACATATACTTTGTCTCATGTCATTGACCACAGTTTACCACAATGTAACAGCTCCCCTCCCACTTCCTCCCGGAAGTTACCTCTTCCCAGTGTCCATCCCTCCATGCACTCCTGCCCCCTGAGCTGTCTCCCTGTGTATAAGCAGCCCTTCTTTCTCCCATGATTGTTCTCTTTAGGGCGTGTATCTACTTGAGGTTCTTGTTTGTCTTTTTGAAGTATGAAGTTTTACTGCAAGTCCCTAAACCTAGTAAATAAAAATGAAAGGTTTGCATTCAAACTTTAAATCGAACTCCAATTCTAGCTAGACTTTAGATAACTAGCTTAACCTCCCTAAGCCTCAGTTTCCTCCTCTATAAAATAAAGATGATAATACCTGCATCATAAGGTTTTTGTAAGAATTAAGTTTAATATTATATATAAAATGCTAAGCACAGTCATTAGCATGTCTGTACTAAGAGCTCAGTCAATGATAGTGATAGTAATCGCAGTGGTAATTAATATGAAGTTTTATTTAATTGGCCTTATTCATATTTAAGGGCTTTTAAGTATGAAAAGAAACAGATGAGTTTAATGTTATGGTTGCAAAAAGTATTTGGTAAGACTGTTCCTTTTCAGTATATTTAGAAGTTATGGGATGTTGGGCAGATAATATAACATCTGTGCCTAGTTTTTTCATCTGTAAAATGGGTGTCATAATAGTACCTAACTCAAAGAGTCATTTTAGAATTAAAGAGTTAATACATGTAAAACATTTAGAGTGATACTGACACTCCATAAATGTTGTTGCTGTTGTTGTTACGTGCCGTCGAGTCAGACCTGACTCATAGCGACTGCTCCTTGGCTTTCTGAGGTGGTGTCACTACGGAAGTAGATTGCTCAACCTTCCTTCTGAGGAGTGGCTGGTGGGTTTGAACCGCCAGCCTTCTGGTTAGCAGTCAAGTGCCTTAGGTACTATGCTACTAGAGCTCCCTCCGTAAATATTAGCTTTTATTATTTTGTGAGCTTTTAAGTATTTTTCCATGATTACTGAAGATAAAATATTCTGTTTGTAGAAAACTTCATTTCACAAATATTTATTGAGCAGATACTCTTCTAGACTGGGGATATACCATGAATAAAAAGAAAGCATCTTTTCTCTTGGAGCTTACAGTAGTATGGGAGGATGCAGATAATTACCTTGGGGTAATATGTTGTGCTAAGAGAAAATGACCCACTTTCTAAAATTTCATAGCCAGTCAAAGTATTCTTAAGGAATAAAAATGAATTAAAGATATTCTCAGATAAAAACTGACTTTGCCATGAGCTGACACTCACTAATAGATGTTCTTTAAGTACAAGGAAAATAATCTAATTGGAAGGAAAATGATGAAACACACAGGAACAATAACAAAAGTGAAAATACTGTAGATTGGCTCTGATGTGTAGATGAATGCAGGGAAACTCAGGAAATGAAGAGAGTGCTGAGATGACCCTAGGCCTGAAAAACTCTATAAACCAACCAAAGTCCTCTCAAGATGAAGGACCTTGCTGAGGTGAGGTCACTGGCAATAGGATCCAAATTGAGCAGGTAAAGAAAAAATAAATTTTCAGGCAACTGTGGAAGGGATCGGAAGAAGCAGATCTTGGAACATTTTGAAGATTAAATACACGTACACACAAATCTATATGCATGCATACACACATAAACACAAACATACATACTTTGTGGTGGCAGTGACAAGTGAGACTCATGAAACTAGGAAAGCTACCGCGACACAGGAATGTCCTCTCAAAGGAATAAAAAACCCATCTCACTTAAACACGAACAAGAAAAGACTGTTGGTAGAAGCCCTTACAAAAGTGTTACAGGAATAAAATCAAGGTGTGTCTTTGTAGCCTATATGTATTTTCAATCATTTTTATATTTTTTAAAATAATTTAATCTCATTCATGCCTTCTATGTCCCTATTTAATTCCTTAATTAGAGAGTGTTTCATTGACCTAGTGTTTATGTCAAATTTTCCTTATGTTTATTTTAGTTTTGAGTATATGTTTTGATGTTATTATTTGTCATGTCGTAATACATGACCATTACCTATTCATCATGGATGTCATCTTTTTCAAAGTTGCATTCCTCTTTTTCCTATTTAATCCTTTTGCATTGAATTCTGTGTTGTCTGACACTAATATTGCTATCCCTCCACATTAAAATCTTGATGTTATGTCCCATTGTTTTGTTTCTAACTTTTTTGTAGTTTTATGGTCTATGCATGTCTCATGTAAACAACATATACAGGTAGTCCCTTACAATGGGGTTCTGTTCCAGTGACTCATAGTAAGTTGGTTCCGATGTAAGTCAAATACCTTTATTTTTTTAAGTTTTCATTATTGCCTTTTATTTTCAATATCTTCCTAAATCTGCTCTTTGAATATCAGTGAGTAGACATCTATGACTGATAACATCAACAGATCATGTGCTCTAACACTGTATGTCCTTCATATTGCTAACAATGAGATGTACCACCACCACACCCATCCCCAAAAAACAGTCTTAAGTGCAGTTCATCATAATGCAAATACATCGTAAGGCTGGGACTACCTGTAGCTTAATACAGACTTTAGTCCAAATCTGGTAGTCTTTTTATTTTAGTAAGAATTGCTATTTATTGAGAGACTACTACTTATGTGTCAAGCATATTCTAAGAGACTTTCTATATATAATTTAGAAAGTAATTTAATTTGATAATTTAATCCTTAGAAAAAAATTCAAGAATATGACTCTTTTCCCTATTCTGGAGGTGAGGAAACTGAGGTTCAGAGAGGTTAAATAATTTACACAGATAGTAAATAATCCTTCTGATTCATTACATAATTGCTGTTTGAATCTTTTTCTCAAATCCTAATCTGTAAAGCTAGTGGGTGATGTTCTGCTGAGAGATCTGCTACTTGTTTGTCTACTTTAGGAGGGAGAAATTAATTCTTCAATAAATTAAAGCTGTGTTTAATTCTTCTATTACCAAAACAATACATGGAAAATTATAGTTTCAGTGGCATCATGTCCTAGAATACAACGAATCATTTTCTATGCTTTTTTTTCCTCATCTTATATTACTGAGAGTTGTTTTCCCTGAATAGATGTAGATAGTCTACTTACTGTTAGGGTTACACAGAGGCTGTTGACAGGTCCTTGGCTGCTTTTGAAAGCAGCTTCCTTTCAATGGCAAGGACCATTCCTCCTCCATGAGCTAAAGCCCAGTGTCTCTGCAAGAATGTGTGGAGTGACATGGATGGAAATGTATTCTCTGTTTCCTGTGCTATTACAACTTGGAACACTTGTGTTTACATGAACAATTCAATGGGAGGATAAGGTTGAATACATTAGTTGCTAATAGTTAAGTATCATCTGTACTCTTTCATAACCTATGATACACATAAGTACCACTTATATTCCCATCTCTGGGGTTTCTTGGGAGGCTTTTTTCCCCCACATATGACGTATGTACTGATGTCGGGGCGGGGACTTGCTTAACTGCATAAAATAGAAGGAAGTTTGTTGGCAACATATTGTTGTGCTGAGAGGCTATTGTGTGAGGTGGTGCATCCTCGAGGAGTGACTGTGTAAAAGTTTTGTCTCTTTGGGATTTTATACAGTGAGATAAGGTTTGTAAGTATATTTACTGTTTCCTGTGTATTGTAGTGTTTGAGATTAGGTAATATTCAAGTGAATATTTTTTTCTGTGATTCATATACCTATCCTACCACCAGAGTCTGTTGGGACATATGTATCCCATATAATACTTATCAAAATCCATCATAGCTAACAAAATTTTTAAAACACTCAATGATTCATCATTAGCAAAAAGAACATTATATATTCAAAATCTTGGTAATGAATTCAGCAAAAACCTTTCAGAGACATTAGACTTTTCTTTTAAAGATCCTTGAATTATGTATGTGAGGGGTGGGTACATTAGGTGAAAACAAAAAACTATTTTTTGCTAATAATTTCCAATGTATTAAGATGTCTTTTGAAGTTACTGAGTGCCAAAAAAATTCAAACACTTGAAAATTTGGATCTGGATTTTGATGAAATATTTGGATTTCATGAGCTATGTATGTGAAGGGGTGGGGACATTAAGTGAAAACAAAAAATTATTTTTTGCTAATAATTTACCAATATATTTTCTTAAGATGTCTTATGAAGTTAATGAGTGCCGAAAAATTGAAACACTTGAAAATTTGGATCTGGATTTTGATGATGATGTCACAGAACTTGAAACTTTTGGAGTAACCACCAACAAACCATCAAACTCTCCAAGTCCAGCAAATACTTCCACAGTACCCAACGTGGCAGATCTTCCCACAGCTCCGAAAACAGCAGCGACATCTGTGGCACCAACTGCACCAGACATTTCTGCTAATTCTAGAAGTCTGTCTCAGATTCTAATGGAACAATTGCAAAAGGAGAAACAGCTGGTGACTGGTACAGACATTAGCCCTGAAGAGTGTACTAAAAATGATGATCAGGGAAATGAATTATGTGTTGATAAAATATCAAACTCTGACAAGTCTTTGATACAAGATAGTGAATTGAAAACTGCTGCTGCCTTACAGTTAGACAGTTCTAAGACTAAGGAAATTGAAACTTCTAATAAAAACGATATGGGTCCTGATAAAGTAAATGCCAATGAAAGATTAAATGTTCTGGGGAATGCAGACAATTCAAAGGAAAAGACTGTTACATCAGAAGCAGATAAAACTGAAGATGTAATTCAGTGCAGTAGTGATACAGATGAAGACTGTTTAGTTATTGATACAGAGTGTAAGAATAATAGTAATGGGAAAACAGCTGTTGTGAGTTCTAAATCACCAAATCCATCCTCAGGACAGGCTTCTGTAGGAAACCAGACCAATACTACTTGTAGTCCTGAAGAGTCGTGTATTTTAAAAAAACCTATCAAAAGAGTATATAAAAAATTTGATCCAGTTGGGGAAATTCTAAAAATGCAGGATGAACTCTTAAAGCCAATTTCCAGAAAAGTGTCTGAATTACCCTTAATGAATATGGAAAACTCTAAAGAGCCTCCTGTTTCCGAGCAGCCTTCTGCTCCTTCAGATGATGCCTCTAGTTGGCCAAAATCTCTCTGGCCATCTGCGTTTCAGAGGCCCAAAGGACGTAAGTAAATATTTACAAAGAACTTTGTATTAAATGTTTTATCTGCTCTTTTCCTTTGGTTTTTCTCATTCCTTACTTTCTTTGTTGTAATCTGTTTTATAATCTGCACATAACCATTAATATTTCATTTTCAATCTATTGATGATTATTTCAGCTTCTAAAATCTCCTTTCTAGTTATGTACCCAAAAGTATGGATTTTGTAACTTGTATTCATCCAACATGTACAGTGGCTATTAAGCTATACCTGGTTAATGCAAACAGTTAACATGCTTGGCTGTTAACCAAAAGATTAGAAGTTAAAGTCCACCCAGAGGCACCTTGGAAAAAAGGCCTGTCAATCTACTTCCAAAAACTCCACCATTGAAAGCCCTGTGGAGCACAGTTCTCCTCTGAAGCATAATAAGAGATTGCCGTAAGTTGTAGTGGATTCAATGGCAACTGGTTGTTACTGTGGTTCACCAGACTAATGAAAGGCAAGTGCATTAAAAATCATAAACATCATTAATCCAAAATTTATTGATACTTAGTGTTGGATTGCTGTTTTGTACTTTTTTCATTTTTTGGTATAAATATAAAACTACTCCTCAGATTTGTCAAGATTCAGAATGATATTTTTACATTCTTCTTTCTTATTTGATATGCTGACTCACTAATTTATACTTCCCTTAGAATTAGTGAAAGTAGTAGTTAAAAGGAAGAGTGCCTTAAAACTTTGATTTTAAGTCCTATAACTCTAGCATTTAAGTAAAGAGAAATGGTAATAGTGATCAGTCAACTAGGCAGAGAAAGTAGAAAGTTAAAGTTGATAGAAGTTGAAAAATAACTTTTTCTGTAACTAACCTGTCAGTAGATAATTGAATTGTTTCACCTTGGTTTATGATGGATGGAAGGAGCCTTGGTGTCACAGTGATTAAGAGCTTGGCTGCTAACCAAAAGGTTGGCAGTTCAAATCTAGCTGCTGCTCCATGGGAGAAAGATATGGCAGTCTGCTTCCATAGAGATTTACAGCCTTGGAAACCCTATGGAGAAGTTCTACTCTGTCCTGTAGGGTCATCATGAGTGGGAACTGACTCAATGCAATGGGTTAGATTCGGTTATGACGGATAAGGGGCTAATATATTTTAAAATTAAATAAGAACATATAATTGTTATTTTTAAAGGATTGCCATATGAACTTCAGGACTATGTTGAAGATACATCAGAATATCTAGCTCCTAAGGAAGGAAATTTTGTTTATAAGTTATTTAGTCTTCAAGACCTATTGTTACTCGTGCGTTGCAGTGTCCAGAGGATAGAGACAAGACCACGTTCTAAAAAACGGAAGAAAATCAGAAGAGTAAGTTATTTTGGAAGCTAGGATATGGTAACATAAGTAGATAATCAGCAAATATTTAACATGCCGTTATTATGAAGTTTAATTTTAAATTGTTACACACTTACAGTAGTATTTCCAGGTTGAGTTTTTTTTTTTACTAAAATACTGAGATTAATAAGGTAAAGTGTTTCATTACATATAATAGTCATGAATACTTATCATGTTCTTGCATAGAATATTTAAATTTTATGGGGAGGCTGTACCACCATGGATTTAACCTAGATTAGTACATGTTCCTGTTTTCTCAATGAATTCAGATTTCTGTTATGAGATAGGAGCCCCTTTCTCTCTTACTTTAAAGACTTCCTTGACTCAGTCTAAAAGCCTGAGTCTTGAAAAATGGGCCATCATGCACATCTAAAAAGTTTTTCCAGACTTACGTGAAGAGCAAATCTCTTTTTCCCCTATTGTTTTTTGGGGGCCTTGGTATAAATATTTTTCCTCAGTTAAAAACATTTTTTCCACAATTTAAGTAATTGATTCTTTCAACAGTTAATGCTGCTCTCCATATTTAGAAATTTGGTGTTCTTTTAGAGATTACTTTGATTTTTTTGTGTGTGTGCCACTGAATTCTGGTAAATAAAGAGGAAGTTCTATATTATAATTGATTATATAAGAAATATTGAGATTTCTTTCCTTTAATTTTTCTTAAGACAATTTTTTTCCTTTGTGTACATTTGTCATAGTATACTTTTTGGTGAATCTGTATCTTTCTTTCTAACCCACCAGTCAACCAATCAGTGTGTTTTGGGCTAGGGATTGAGTGAATCAAAAATGGTGATGTTCCAGCTTTGACCCTGGGGAATCAAGTCTCTGACAACTTAATCATACTCAAAATCATATTCAAAAATAAGAGAAAAATAAAGAATGAGATATGTAAGAGGAGTGCTTTTTACAAGGGAAAAGTCAGGGAATGACAGAATACTGTAGGTTTGATGTCAGTGTCCTCCTAGATCAATACTGACATCCTCTGTAGTAAAAGATTTTACTTTGTTTATTTTTTCCTGCATCGTCTGTTTTAAAGTGTGATGAATTTAATGGCCATAAGCATGAACATCTTGAATATATATAGTATTAGTGCTAATTTTTAAGATTTTATTTCTTTCATTCTTTCTTACTGTCTGTGCGATTTATTTTGGAGCTAAGTTCTACCTTATGAATCTGTACCACTTTGTATTTATCTGTATTTATAATTTTTTTAAGTATCTCTTAAGTAAAAAAAAAAAAAACCAAGGAAATTTTGAATACTGATTTAATTTTTGAAAGGGGCAGCTTAAGGACATTGTTTTAAGTGCAATTTGTAAATGTCAAGACATAACCTTGTATATAGAAGAGAACTCACTCTTCATCAAAATATGGCAAAAACAGGTGAGCCTCAAAGAATATCTAAATAGGAGCCTTATATTTTTCTAATTTGTCAAACCCAGAGTAAAGTTTAAATTTTTCAATGAATGCTTATTATATCGCAGCTGTCTTTTTTATATTTAATAATTTAGTGCACATGGTTTAAATCCCTAAGTAGAATGTAAGCCCCTTAAAGTTATATCCTATTCATCAGTAATTCTCCCAAATGTTTTATATCATAGAAACTCAAATAGGTATTGAATAAATGAGAAAAATTGAGAGGTGGAGAAAAAGAAGGATAGTGTTAAGGAATGGAACTTTCAAGGGGTTGAAGTGCTAGTTTGAGACATTTGAAAGTAGGTAGTCTAATTAGGTAAGAATACATCGTCATTTTAATACAGACATACCTCGTTTTATTGAACATCACTTCATTGTGCTTCACAGATACTGCGTTTTTTACAAGTTGAGGGTTTATGGCAACCCTTTGTTGAACAAGTGTATTGATGCTATTTTTCCAACAGCATGTGCTTAGTACATATCTCAATGTCACCTTTTGGTTATTCTCAAAGTAATTCAAACCTTTTCTCAATGAATTCAGATTTCTGTTATGACATAGGAGCCCCTTTCTCTCTTACTTTAAAGACTTTCTTGACTCATTCTAAAAGCCTGAGTTTTGAAAACACTTAATAGGCTACAGTAAAATATAAGCATAACTTATATATGCATTGGGAGACCAAAAGTTCATGTGACTCGCTTTATTGTGATATTTGATTTATTGAAGTGGTCTGAAACCAAACCTACAAAGGCATGCCTTTATTTCCTACCTAAAATTTGTCTTGTTTAGTTAAAGTGTTTGAATACTAAGAATTTTTTTCAACTCTGATGTCCAAGAACTTCACCTTATCTCTCCTTTGTTTTTCCTTGATTATTCAAGTCTGTGTTGTAATAGTTGTTGAGATTTTACTTTCTAGTATCATTTACCCTTGCTCATTTAAAGCTGCTTCTTGATACATACAACTTGGACTTCAGAGTCGAGTCAGACCCAACTCATAGTGACCCCTCCTTGGGTTTCTGAGGCAGTATCACTACAGAAGTAGATTGCCCAACCTTCCTTCCAAGGAGTGGCTGGTGGGTTTGAACCGCCAGCCTTCTGGTTAGCAGTCAAGTGTCTTAGGCACTACGCTACCAGAGCTCCTAGGAGAACTGTAAAATAGCAGCCAGTCTCAAATGATGGAATGAAATAAAGAGGGTTAATTTGCACAAGATGAAGCTGGAACTTACTAAGTTGTATATGTAATTATGAAATCCAAACTGAGTCACTTTGAATTATTTGCTATTACCTATTACTAAGTTAACAAAATTTCCTAAATGCTATATTCTAAAATGATTCTAAAATTTAGATCCAGTTATTTGAAGATTTGTATTTGCATTTGATGGTCAGACAAAAAAATCCTGAAGATGCTAAGTGTAAGGAAAGAATAGAAATTAACAACAGAATTAATGAGAGAATACTAACTATGAAATACTTACTTAGGGACATGTATAAAAGTTTAAAAGAGCATGTGAAGGCACAAAACCAAGAAAAGCTTTCACTTGGAGGGAATAGGAGCTACTGAGCAAGAAAAAAAAGAATAGTAAATTTGATTTTTATAGTGTGAAAATTGTTATTGTAATTAAAAGTTCACTTCATTTCAAAATACTAATAAGATAAAATAGTTTTTCTTTCCTCTGGCTTCCTGGAGATGGCAGTAGAATACATATGGAAATTAAAACCAGATTTGGGACTTGCTTTTGTACAAAGCAGTATAATCACAAGAAAATCCCCCAAAGTATATCTTTTTCAGAAATATTATAAGTATTTTAATTAAAAAAAAACTAGAATTAACTCTATTCTCCATTCATCATCCAGAAAAGGAATCTTCCTTATTAATTAATCCTTTCCCAGTCTGCTGTGAACCAGTTATGTGCCCTTAAGCAAATTTCTTAACCTTTTAGGCTTTCATTTCTGTATTTCTAGCTTCTGTTTACTCTAAAGTTCTAAGACATTATAAATCATATACAGACTACTAGTTTCCAAGTTTCCAAAGAATTATTAAGGAGTCAAATACTTTTAACAGTGAAATTATCCTAAGGCAATTTGATTTTTTTTGTTTGTTTGTTTTTAATTGAAAAAACATTTTTAGGATCTTATTATTCAAAGGACAGTCCCTGAAAGAGCAGCTTGTTAAAAATGCAAAACCTTGGGCCCTACCCCAGAATCTGCATTTTAATAAAATCAATGGTCATTTGTATGCACAATGAAATTTAAGAAACTTTACTTTAGTTTTACAACCTTCAGAAGATTCATACATGAACCTCACTTGCTGTTAATAACAGATATTTTACTGCATTTGAATTACTCTTACCATCACCATTTTCCCAAGCCCACAAAATTTGCCACTTTGTGAAAATCAGGAATTCAGAAGCATTGATGAAGTATTTCCAAATATATAAATGAAGACAGCTTGAAACAATTTCAGAAGTACTATTTAGCCATATCAATTTGCGTGAGTCCCTTAAATCATGTATTTTTCTTTCTGTAGCTGGAAATGGAGAGATTCCTGTTAAAAGTAGATTTGTTGTTGTTGTTGCAAAAGTGAGATAACATGAGTACAGTGAATATGACTAAATTATGTTACTTCACAAAGACCTTGTATTCTCTCTATATATTCTCTCCTTTAGACCAGTAATGGTCACAGTCATGGTATAGATAATTTGTCAGATACGTAGTGCCTCAGTTTCCTAGTGCTGCCATAACAAAAATACCACAGATGGGTGGCTTTAAAGAACAGAAGTTTATTTTCTCACAGTTCTGGGGGCTGAAAGTTCAAATTAGAGTCTTAGCCATGTTGATTACTTTTGTAGGCCTCTCCTAATTTCTGTTGCCTGCTGTAGTCCTGGGTGTTCCGTTGCTGCTTAGAGCTGCATCTACCTTCATTGTCACATGGTGTCTCCCTGTGTCTCTGTCTGTTTTGCTTTTTTTGTAAGGCACAATTCAGGAGGGTTTATGTATAGAATCTATCCTACTCCTTTATGGCATCATTAACATAATAAACATAAACTCCTACTTTCAAACAGGGTCTTATTTACAGGTGGCGGGGTTAGGACTTCAACATAATTTGGGGAGGCACAGTTCAGTCTGTAACACTTAGTGTCTGGAATAAAGCTTTTGTATTAATGAAGATTATGACATCCACAGGTGTTAATGCAGATACTAATGCTCATACATTTATAGAACGAAAGCAGTTTGCTCAGAGTGTTTGAGTCCTATGACAATGTGGCTCATTTTCTGGGGGCTAAATCCTAGATCTTTACCTTTTTTATCCTTGAGAATTATTATCATATGTTACAGTAATTGCTTCCTAGCATCTAGCTTTGAACCTTTGGGCAATTAGTATTATAAGACTCTATTTCCAGGGTTCTGCTGTCAGTCATATTACCTAACAGAAATGAAATGTTTGCATACATGTGGGGATGTGTTGATTTTGGGTGGGGGAAGGCTCTCTTTTATCCATCCACCTCTTATCAATAGGGGCAGATTTTGACCCAAGTAGGAAATAGGCAGCAGTGTCCCACTCAAACATGGCAGCCAATACACATTCAAAGTGGTATGGTAGGCTGCCATATTTGAGTGGAGCACCACTATCAAAATTTTCTACACGAGAGATTGGTTGCTATGCATCTTGCATGCTGCTCTTGTTTCTGTTGGCCATGACTGAATCCTTTCAAACCAGTTGAAAGCCTTGCTACATAGGCAGAATATATTTGGTGGTACATTAAAGTTCTAAAAAGTATAATAATTTTGCATTGCAGCAATTTCCAGTTTATGTGCTACCAAAAGTGGAGTATCAAGCTTGTTACGGAGTTGAAGCTCTGACTGAAAGTGAACTTTGTCGCTTATGGACTGAAAGTTTATTGCATTCCAACTGCTCATTTTATGTTGGTAAGTTATATAAGAGGCTTCTTCTTTCTCCTTTTTAATTCTCTTGCAAATATCTAACTTTCAATTCCACTGCAAATATTTCCATTCTGTAGTTTAGTGTTTTCAATTTTATGATTGTTAACATTCCTTTCTATTAATCCTACTCCAGAATTAAGTATCAGGATGGAGCTAGTGATGCCAGATGTTTTCATTTCCTTCTTATTCCATATCTGTTTTAGTTGTACGTGAATGTCAACAAATACATTTAATGTTTAAAATACTCAATTTTATTTAATAGTGCAATTAACTAAAAGTATACATGTGTTTTCTAACAAGCTTCTTTTAAAAGTACTGTTTAATTGGTTTAAAAATATTTTGAAATTTTCTTACAATTTTAAGTCTTCTAAACATCTCGAACATCTTGATAAAAAGGCTTCATACTGTGTTTTTTGAAGGGAGTTGTTGTTGTTTTGTGCTGTCAAGTCGGCCCCAGCTTATAACAGCCCCTCCTTGGGTTTCCGAGGCAGTATCACTACGGAAGTAGATTGCCCCATCTTCCTTCCAAGCAGTGGCTGGTGGGTTTGAACCACCAGCCTTCTGGTTAGCAGTCAAGTGCCTTGAAAAAGGTAGTAGGGGTTTAATTGGCTTTGTCTGAGCTAGTTCATTTACATTGAACATAGCTCACATCATTAATTACTTGCTAGGTTGCTGTGAATCGGAGCAGCCTCAGTGGCACCTAACAACAACAAGAAGTCATTACTGATGTTATTTCTAAATGCAATGCCTAATCATATACATCTCAGTTCATCCCGTACATCTCAAGCTGCCCTTCCATGAAGTCTTTTCCTTTCTTTGATCTCTCAATACATTGCCCAGTATTTTACTCATCGTATGATTTCCAGTTTCTACCTTTTTGTTCTTTTCAGCCTATTTCATCTTCCGATTAGACAATAAGCGGTAAGGTCAGAGTTTGATGAAACTTTGTATTCCTATAATGTTCAGCATATTTCCTTTGTTGTTAGGTGACAGTGAATCGGCTCCAACTCATAGTGACCCGGTACACAACAGAATGAAATGCTGCCCCATCCTGCGCCATCCTCACAATCCTTGCTGTACTGGAGCCCATTCTTGCAGCCACTGTCTCAGGCCATCTTGTTGAGTGTCTCCCCCTTTTTCGCTGACCCTCCACTTCACCAAACATGTTATCCTCCTCCAGGGAATAGTCTCTTCTGACAACGTGACAAAAGTAGATGAAATGAAGTCTGGCCATTCTTGCTTCTAAGGAGCATTGTGGGCAGATTTATTGGTTCTTCTGGCAATCCATGGTATTTTCAGTTTCTTCACTAACACCACAATTCAGCTCTTCCTTATTCATTGTCTTCCTTATTCATTGTCCAGCTTCTACATGCATATGAGGCTACTGCAAGTACCATGGCTTCAAAGTGACATCTGTGCTCTTTAACATGTTAAAGAGGTCTTTTGCAGTTGTTGTTGTTGTTGTTGTTAGGTGCCCTGGAGTTGTCTCCAACTCGTAATGACCCTATGCACAGCAGAGCAAAACACATCCTGGACCTGTGCCAGCCTCGTGATCCTTGCTATACCTGAGCCCATCATTGCAGTCACTGTGTCTGTCCATCTCGTTGAGGGCTTTCCCCTTCTTTGTTGACCCTCCGCTTTACCAAGTATGATATCCTTCTCCAGGGAACGGTTCCTTCTGACAGCTTGACCAAAGTAGGTGACATGAAGTCTGGCCATTGCTTCCAAGGAGAGTTCCAGCTGCACTTCTTCCGGGACAGATTCATTAGTCCTTTTAGCAGACCACGGTACTCTTACCATTCTTCTCCAACCCCACAACTCAAAAGCATCAACTCTTCTTCATTCTTCCTTATTCATTGTCCAGCTCTCACATGCATAAGAGGCGATTGAAAATACCATGGCTTGGGTTAGGTGCACCCTAGTCTTCAAGGAGACATCTTTGCTCTTCATCACTTTAAAGAGGTCTTTTGCAGCAGATTTGCCCAATGGAGCATGTCATCTTATGTCTTGACTGCTGCTTCCATTGGTGTTGATTATAGAACCAAGTAATATGAAATCCTTGACATCTTCAGTCTTTTCTCCATTTATCGTGAAGCTGTTTATTGGACCACTTGTGAGGATTTTTGTCTTCTTTATATTAAGGTGTAATTCATACTGCTGATTGTAGTCTTGAATCTTCATCACTAAGTTATCCTCACTTTCAGCAAGAAAAGTTGTGTCATTTGCATATTGCAGGTTGTTAATGAGTCTTCCTCCAATCCTAATACCACCTTCTACTTCATATAATCCAGCATCTTAGATTATTTGCTCATCATACAAGTTGAATTTAGTATGGTGAAAGGATACAACCTTGATGCAGTTCCTTCTTGATTTTGAACAATGCAGTATCCCGTTGTTCTATTTGGGCAACAGCTTCCTGGTCAGTATACAGGTTCCTCATGGGTACAATCAAATGTTCTGGAATTCCCGTTCTTCTCAGTGTTATCCATAATTTGTTATGATCCACAGAATCTAATGTTTTTGCATAGTCAGTAAAACATAAGTAAACATCTTTCTGGTATTCTTTGCTTTCAGCTAAGATCCATCTAATATCAGCGATGATATCCCTTGTTCCATGTCCTCTTCTGAATCCAGGTTGCATTTCTGGAAGCTCTCTGTCAATATGCTGCTGCAACTGTTTTTGAATTACCTTCAGTGAGATTTTACTTGCATGTGATATTAATGATATTGTTTGATAATTTCCACATTCTGTGGGATCACCTTTCTTACAATAAATCACTTGATTTCATAAGTGCTTCTTCTATAGACAGTGATTGTGGATCCAAGTAAAATGAAATCTTTGACAACTTCAGTCTTTTCTCCATTTCTCATAGTGTTGCTTATTGGTCCACTTGTGAGGATTTTTGTTTTCTTTATGTTATGGTGTAATCCATACTGAAGACTGTTGTGTTGCATCTTCATCAGTAAGTACTTCAAGTTATCTTTACTTTCAGCAAGCAAGTTTGTGTCATCTGCATATTGTAGGTTGTTAAAGGTTCTTCTACCAATCCTGATGCCACGTTCTTCTGTATATAATCCAGCTTCTCAGATTATTTGCTCAGCATACAATTTGAATCAGTGTGGTGAAAGGATACAACCCTGACATACATTTTGGGCTTTTCTTCCTTTCCTGTCTTTTTAGTGACCATTTGCTTTCTTCATGTATGATGTTCTTGATGTCATCCCACAACTCGTCTGGTTTTCTCTGGTGTTCAGTGCATCAACTCTGTTCTTCTGATGGTCAGGTAGGATATAATCAAGGTCATATATTGAGTCTCATGGACTTCTAATTTTCTTCAGCTTCACCTTGAACTTGCATACGAGCAATTAATAATTTCTTCCATAGTCAGCTCCTGGTCTTGTTTTGACTGAAGTTACTGAGCTTCTCCACTGCCTTTCTACACATTTAGTCTGTTTCCTGTGCATTCCATCTGGTGAGTCCATGTATATAGCCGCTATTCATGTTTTTCACAAAAGTATTTGCAGTGAATAAGTCATTGGTCTTGCAAAATTTTGTCATGCAGTCGCTGATGTCATTTCTCATCACTAGGGCTGTATTTTCCAGGTACTGATAATAATTCCTTGTTTCCTGCTTTTGCATTGCAACTTTTGTATTGATTATTTCTATAATAATCACTACACCTTGGTTGCATGTTTGGTCAGTTTTAGACTGCAGAAGTTGGTAAAAATCTTCAATTTCTTCATCTTTGGCTTTAGTGATTGGTGCATAAATTTGAATGATGGTATTAACTGGTTTTCCTTGTAGGCATATGGATAGGATTCTATCACGGATAGCATTGTAATTCAGGATATATTTTGAAACATTCTTTCTGACAATGACTATAATGCCATTCCTCTTCAATTTGTCATTCCTGGCATGTTGTTTCTTTTAGGTGCCATTGAGTCATCTCTGACTCTTGGTGACCCTATATGCAACAGAACGAAACTCTGTCTGGTCCTATGCCAGCCTAAAGTTTTCCAATGATAGACAATATTTCACTGCTATTCATAGCAGACCATATGACTGTCTGATTAAAAATGGTGAATACCAGTCCATTTCAGCTCACTAATGCCTAGAATATTGATCTTTATGCCTTCCATTTCATTTTTGACAAATTCCAATTTTCCTACATTCATTCGTAATATGTTCCGCTTCCCATTTATTAATGGATGTTTGCAGATGTTTCTTCCCATTTTGAGCTGTGCCCCAGCAGCAAATGAAGTTCCCAAAGCTTTGCTCCATCTGCATCATTAAAGTCAACTCTACTTTGAGGAGGTAGCTCTTCGCCAGTTGCATTTTGAGTGTCTTCTGACCTGAGGGACTCATCATTCGGCATTATATCATTGTTTCAGGGCTATTCAAAAAGTGTTCCAGTAATATATCAGGCAGTGTTTCTATGCTGTTCATATTGTCACTGGCCAATTTTTTTCAGAAATATATGGCACTGTTCTTCTTCCCAGTCTGTCTGTATGTAATAAATTCTGTGAGTGTGTTTTTCCTGCTAATTAAAAAAATAACATGTTCAGTTGAAGCATTTTCCCAGTTTTGGTTAGTCAACATTTTATCTTCATATTTTATTAAAGCATTAATAAGATAAAGGGTTAACTCATTGACCCAAAAAGGAAATGGTTAAATTTATTT